GGGTGGGTGGGATGGGTAAGTGGTCAGGGGAGGGAGGATCTAGAGGAGTTCTAAGAATTCAGGCTTCCAAATCTCCACTAGGCCCTACTGATACCATTAAGACTTAAAGGTGGGGGTGGAGAGTTTCTGTCTTTCTTCTTTTTTTAAGTGGGGGATCAAGAAGTAAGATCCAGCCAAAAAAAATAAGAAAAAGTTCGATTCAGTTTTATCATTAATGACTTCTCCACTGTGACTCTTGGTTTCCTTCAGGGGTTAATTTCGAGCTTTGTATGTATGTCTGTGTGTGTATGTTGCTAAGGTCACCATGGCTGACCGGGCTGCTGCTGAAAGGGCCTGCAAGGATCCCAACCCCATCATTGATGGCAGAAAGGCCAATGTGAATCTGGCATACTTAGGAGCAAAACCAAGGATCATGCAACCAGGTGAGAAATGCCCACCACCACCCCACTCCACCTCCAGTGTCCCCCACTTATGAATAGAATGATGCCCTGATTCAGAAGACATTGGCTCCCTGAGAATCTGTAGATATGTTTAGTAAACTTGAACCATGGCTGGTTATTCTACTAAGGCATTAAAGATAAATGAGAGTTGTAAAAACTCCTTCCAGGACTTGAAATGTACCTTGTGCAAAAATAAATATTGGGGATCTGGACAGTTTGAACGCCCAAGAGTTAGGCTTGACTCATCTGTCACCTGTGTGGCATACATTTGTTGTAGTCCACTCTCAATATTCAGTTTTTAGCCACTTGTAGATAATTCACATGTGAGTTATATGGGCAAATTTGTCAACTCCAGTTAGTTTATTTTCCTACTTTTAGTGTTTTCTTTCCTGCACTGTCCTCAGAGCAGACAAGCTGACTTGAACACTGACCCAAGAGAAGTATGGGGTGGGGGTGGTGTCCACATGGTAAAGCTTTAACATAAAATCACAGAATATTAGCAATCGAAGGAAATAGATTGCACCTATTCAAGGTTTGTTATGTTACAAATAAAGAAGCTGACACTTAGAGATAAGAAATAGTTTAACCAAAGTCATGTAATTATTAGTTGCATTTTGTCTATGTGAAAATATGATCTTTTGGATTATTTACAACACTGTCCTTTGCATTTGCACAAATAGCTGAGAGTTGGCTATTGAGCAAATGTAATCTTTTTCCTGAGTGAGCAACTTTACTGGTTTGATTAAATCATGTACTCTTCACTTCTAAGTCTTTCCTGAAATTTTTCTGAAATTTTGGAAAGAGATTGGCACTTCCCTCCAAATGGATTTAAAAGGAAACTAGGTAACTAGGTTGCCAAGAAAGTAAGTGCATGTGCAAATATCCATGGGCATTTAAAAATATGTATTTGTCTAATACATTATGTTTATGTACTATCCAGAAGAGAAGGCAAGAGTTTGTTTTCATGAATTTTTAATATTGCAAACTGTAAAACCCATAATCAAAGCATTGTTCAAAGCATTCCAGCATGTTCCAAATTACAAAGACTTTATAGACCATGGTTCAGAATTTTAAGAATATTTGTGAAATGTAACTTCATTGTCAAGTCCTGTTGTTCTTGGTTTCATTTCAGGAACATTTTTGCCTGGTCTAATTTGCCAGGTCTTACTCAGGGTCTGTCAAGTACATTTTGCAGATTTTTTTTAGAGTTTTCACTTCCAGCCTATTAAAGCCTTTATTTTGGATCGATGATAGCATTTATGAAACCAACTTTTTAAAATAGACATACCTATATGTGATATTTTCTCTAAAGTATTTTTCCAAGTGAAAGTTGTGATTGCATTTTATATGTAGGAGTCATAAATGCCTAATGCACAAATAGAGAATGTGGTATGTTTTGTTGTTAGGTTTTGCCTTTGGTGTCCAACAACTTCATCCAGCTCTTATACAAAGACCTTTCGGGTAAGTCAATTCATCAGGCCCTCCTAAGTTTCAGTATGGTTATCATTTGTTAACTTGCCTCTTTGTTATATGCAGACAAGATCATCATGTCACAGAACGTTCCCGGTTATACATATTTATATTTGTGTATTTTTAATGCTGATACTATAAATATTTTTAGATGAGTCAAGTTATCTGACCAAGTACCAGCCTCCAAACCAGACAAATTTTGAGCTTATGATTAACAAAACAAAACAAAACAAAACAAAAATACCAGGTATGACTTGTATACAAGACGATTGTGTCCCAACACCATTACTGCTGTTCAACTTGACTCAATTTTATTTATCTTTTTCTAACCTGACAGGGCTCGTATACAGTTAAGCTAACTGATCAGAAGGATACGGTGATAACAGGTGGAATAGTTCTGTTTGGAATTAAACTCTGTAACCGGTAGACTCAGACACACAAGCTCAGATGGTGATTAATGATGCATGGATGTTGGTGTTGTTTTTATTTTTTACCATAGTCAATAGCCCTCCGTGTGCTTTATTTTATTTATTACAGTAATGAAGTGGTGTTGATAGCTAAACTGTGTGCTTTTTTACTTAATTGAAAAGAGCTGTAGTGAAAGTGTTTTCTTTTCCTCGGGGAAGGGGCTCTTTGCGTTTTGGTTTTCGTGGTGGTGTTGAGGAGTGTTGACTTTTGACTTTGCCATGGGAAGCAAAGGGCCTTTTTTTTTCTTGCTTTTAAGCTGTAGCCTGTGACTTCTGTTTAACCATATTTTTGTAGTGAGTGCTAAATTGTGTGATTTCTCTGTAAGAATACAGATTCATTGCTTGCATGTCCTAAGTTTCTGTTTTATGGGGGTTTTCCTGGGAACTGGGTTCTTTTCTTTTGCAATGCGTATCCACTTTCAGGCCATCTAATTTAAAGGTTCAGCAAGTCTCTTCAGTTTTCATAAACACCAGCCAGTTTTGTTGAGGAGCGTAGCACTAACTTTCACCTTTCAAGCCTAACTTGGGTGAACAGCCTGCTCATATTTGTGTTATCTGTGGGTCCTGTGATTACCAGCTTTCCTGTTCTGAGGTCCCTATTTTCCTTCCATTCAGACACCATGTGGGGGGGAGATCACCTACCACCTAAATTTACCCTGGGTAGGAGAGTGTTTTGGCTATGTTCTACCTGATCAACATTCCTGTAACTAATGCCAGAGGTTTAAAATTCCTTCTTAAACATTCTAGCTGTTCCAGGAGTATTTTATCCTCAGCAATAGTTTCTTCTCTAGCTTACAACCTAAACTTCTACATGTGTAACCTGGAAGTCTGGAATCTGTGTACATGGATAGATGTCTATCTACCCTGTGTGTCTCCAAGAATAGACTTTTTTAAAAAGTTAGTAATAATTTGACTTGGAAGAGTCAAGTTAAACGAGGGTACTTCAAAAAGTTCATGAAAAAATAGAATTAAAAGAGAATATGATTCTCCCCATGAACTTTTGAAGTACCCTCCAATTTTCCATAAACACCTTCTTATAACCCTCCCTTTAACTTATCAGTACTTCATTCTTACTGCCAACTCCTAGTTTTTTGATTTTTGTGGGGTTTTTTTTTTTTCTGTAGAAGAGTCTTCTGCCCAATATGATTAGAAAGGGCCTTCATATATCCATAGCTATTTATCGAAGCCCCATCCAAGCCAATCTGTATACTGATAATAAATGGTGGGTTGATGGGTCCAATCATTTCTGTGGGTACTTCATTGGTCTAGACTATCTGTTTAAGGTGGCATTGGGGAGGAGAACACACATCTGAAGAAGTGATGATAATCTTAGTCATGATCTCACATTAATTCATGAAACAGTTATAAAACTAAATCAACAGGTATTAGCATGTGTTTATTTTTTTCACTGTGTTAGTGTTTGGTTGATGCAAAATGAAGAAATTATACATTAGTTTGGGAAACAAAAATAATACAAACCAATTAAGAAGAGCTAATTGCTAAGTGATTTGATATTGTTTCAAGTACAAAAGGAATTCAGAGTAGCAAGAAAATAGATGGGTTGGAGTTGGACAAAGCTATTTGGGGGCTGGGGGCTGTTCAAGAGGTTGACTTGAAATAAACTTGGACCAATGGGTATGTTTTGGACAGATAAAAGAAAGACTGGATACGTCTGAAGGGTATAGGATGGAGTGAGTGTAAACAAAGGCACAGAGGAGAGAAAAAGACTCAGTGCATGGAGAAACCAGACTGTTGAGGGAAGGTCTTGAGAGCTAGGCATAGCCGTTTGGGCTGGTTGTGGAAGTCCTTATCAATCCTTGAGAAAGAAACACTAGGAAAATAGGAATCACCAGAGTAAAGTATGTCATATGGAAATTTTAAATCAAGTGTGTTTTGATCATAGCCTTCATTTTTCATCTCTTCCAATATTAACTGTCTTTAAAAAGGATGGTGATTATTACTGTGTGCATAAATTGTTTGAACTTGAGATTCCTAATAGAAACAGATAGCATTCCAGGTAGACCAAGCAAGCTTTCTCTTTCTTTTTTAATGGGTTCTCAACACTGCTCTAATTCCCAAGAGTCTGTACCTAACAAATCACACCTGGTCATCCTAAATTCTATTTGAATGTCACATGTTCTTATCTTAGGCCTGGAAAGAAGCTTGAGAATTTTAAATTTTACTTGTTTGAAATTTCTAGTGATGGAACCCTTTTTTAAAATGTGGTCCTTAAATAGCCCCCAGGCTACTTTGGGCCTTTAAAAACAAAACCTTGGCCTGAAGGAACTTGTGATGTAACACAGTGGGCAGATACAGAGAAACTAGTGGATTTGCTGAACTATATCTTATGAATAGTTATGTTTGAAAGAAGCATTTTCTTATGGAAAACTTGGAGGGGAGATGCTGTAGATCTGTGAGCAGAAATTTCTGGGCTAGTTTAGATCAGGTTAAACATATATTTAGTTACTTAACTTTAAGTGTTAAGTTTTATGCTGGGTGTGGTAACACTCTGTTGGGTTTTTATACTCTCCACTAAAGGGTGCAGGAGGGGCCATAACTGACGTTAACCAAACATCTGTTACGTGCATGATACTGATAATGGATTTACATAAATTATGTAATTAAATTCTCACATTAAGTATTCGATAGAGGCACTGTTAATGTCCTTTCTGTGAGTGAAAAAACTGAGATGCAGAGAGGTTAATTAACTTCCCCCAATCACAGGACTGGTAAGTGTTAGAGTCTGATTCTAGATTCACAATCATGTTCTGCCTGCCTTCAAAAGCTGTGTTCTTTCTTTCCTCTGTATCAAGCTGCAGCAAAAAAAGACATGATTGCATTGTCTTTCATAATCTAGTAAGAAAATTGATAAGCACCAGGAAGACCTGTCCATGTGACTTGAGATAAGGGAGAGAAATATCAGGTCATTGGGATTTAGGAAGTCTTCATGAAGGAAGTAGAAGTTGACCTAGATTTTAAAGAATGATGGAGGATAGGGGACTCTTTTTACCAAGTACCTACTATATTTACTATTGCAGGCTCTTCCCAAAGATAATTTTATTTAATGCATAGCAACTCAGGGCTGAAAATATTAGTCCATTTCACGTATGAAAATGTGATACTAAAAAGTAAAGCAAATCTCTGAAGGCTCTACACATAGTGAGTGCTAGAGCAGGGATGGATGGAATTTGGATTTCACCAGGTAGAGGTGGAGTGAAGATTGGCATCCCAGGTGAGGTTTGGATGGCTTGAGTGGAGATGAGGGCCTAAGAATGTGTGGCATGTCCAGGAAACACTAAGGAGCCCAATTGATGACCTGGGTTCAAGGAAGGGTGGAAAGAAATACTGGAAAGGTATTTTGGAGCCAGAGGCATAAAAGGTTTAGGAATGCCAAGGTTTCAGAAATTTGCACTTAGTTTGGTATAATGTTGGGGCCGAGGACTAGTTTGAGCAAGTGAGAGAGATGGAAGCTTTGTCAGCAGTTTGTGTGATAGGTTGGAAGAGGAAGAGGTCACAGAGAAATGTCAGTGGGACCTGAAGAGATGGCAAGAAGAGGAAAATGTAGTCATTTTTCTTTGAAACTTATAAAAGTCTGTAACCTTGTGCTGTTGTAACTTCTGTGTGTGTACAGTCTATGTTTAATTGAAAGAAAGGACATTGGTAGAGATCTAGTAGGAGAGGGAGATTCCCAAATCGCCTTAATAGGTTCCTTAGACTATGAAAAGAGCTGGGAAGGCAGGAGTTGCTTCAGAAGTGCCACCTTACGCTCTAGTCCCATTCTGCCTTCCCTCCTGAACCAAGGTATGTTAGGCTCTGCATGGTCTTCTGGGTTCTCCTTTCTCTTAAGCCTCAAAGGGCTCTAGATTTTCCTTTGCCTTCCAGATGTCTTCCTATCCCTTGCCAGCCTTCATGTAGGTGTCTGATATTCCAGTGAACTTTATTTATACTCTCATTGGTTGGCATTAGAAAATCAAAGCTATTTCTTAATGTAAAGAAAATGCAGAGATAGAGACCTCTAAGCAACCCTGCCTATCTTTTGATGCATTCTACACACACGCACACACACATTTTATGATGCCTTTTTGTAGGAGAAACTTATTTTCAGTTAACTTTTTTATTCAAAGATGTGAACCTAGCAACCGTGTGTTGTCCTTGGAACTTTGGGAGTACAAGGGGTTAATGTTTTGGTATCAGTGAGATTCATACTGGCTGGACTTTGCAGCTGATAGATGTTTTACTTTGGCCTTATAAAGACATTTTACCCGCTGGAAACCCTTGTCGCATGACAGGATCAAAAATAGCCCGGCTGCAGCCCCAGCTGTCCATCACCACATGTAAACTGGCCTGAGAGGAGGCCCTCTTAGCCATGTCTGCACATTGTGGACGTGGTGGCCTCCAGGGACAGTGCTTCATAAAGCCACACCTGTCGCTGTAAGTGAGCCAGTCACCTGACCTGCAGCAGAGTTCTGAGTGTGTGCATGACCACGCGTCTGGTTTCTGACAAGCAGTTAAGAACATCTCTAAGTGTCCTCAGAAACACTTGATGACGTCGTTTCTCCTGGCACTGGGAAAGATCTACAAGTCTGGTAAAATTGAGTGTATTTTTATCATTGGGGTCAAAGTTTACTACCCTCTGTGATAAATTCATCTTTTCCATGGATGTTCGCTAATGAGTGCTTTTCAGTGAAACTCTGAAAAGGCAAAGCAAAATCTTTGTTTTTGAAAAATCTGACTGTGAAGTTCTCTGTTTTTTAAAACTCTCTTTAAAGTTCTTTAAAATTTGAAGACTGTACTTGTGCGTGTATTTCTTCTAAATTGGCTTTGCCAGCAACCAAATAGCCTTCTAGTGTCATATTTTTAGAAATATAGGGCATTTTGATGGAGATTATTTTAAACTAAGAAGAAATAAATCAGATATTCGTGGTAGTGTTTTAAATGGGCAGTAACGAATCGCAAGAGTAAGAATTGAGATGCATGGGATTTTTTTTTAATACCTCTTGTGATTTATCTTTTAACCAAATTAACTTTTAAGTAAGGTTATTGGAGTCTGTCTTGTATGTGATCCGTGAATGTATAATTTTAAAAGGCACTTGATTTTGTTTTACTTTCTTGAACTTCTGCAGGATAATTCATAATCATACAATTGATTTATACAAAATATCAACTGATAGGGCAGATTTAAAACAGATATGCTAATCATTCTATTTCTGTTGATTTGGAGGATAAAACAAGTTAGTGGATGTGCCAAAAAATGTTTCCTCATTATGTTAACCTTTAAAATTTCTATTAATTTTAGAAATATTTAGTTGTATTTCCCTGTTCCTATCTTTTCCCTCAACCTCATCATTTCCCCAAAACCCCTTCTGTCTGTCTTGCATAGAGATAAACAAGCTGGCTGACCCTCAGTTGCCTGATAGTCAAACAGGTTTGGTTGACTGTTGTGTCCTTATGAATTTTATGGGGAAAAAAAAGAAAGAAAGAAAGAAAGAAAGAAAGTGTGCTGCACATCTTTTTGGGAATCACTGCCATGAATGTTAATGGTGTTTTTGTAGCTTCCCACAACAGCCTCTTGTGACAGAGTGAGCTGCACTACAGTTCGTTTGAGAAGTGTGATTCTGCTGTGTTTACCACACTTGTGAACTTTTAAACTCCTTTTTTTTTTATTTTGTCGCCTGCTTCTTTTTTTAATTATTATTTTTAATAAGGGTGACTGAGGTTGCAGAGAGATTAATGTGTGCTGAGTCTGCATAGCAATTTCAAGTAGGGTTGCCATGATAATAAACATATGGATTTTGTTGAAATTTATTTTAGTTTGACAAATCAGCCATCGCCCCACAGAACTGAATGATCACAGATTACCTTCTGAGTGCTATATTCATGCCTAAGAATTTTACTATTTGCTAAACACTTTTATGAGCTCATTACAAAATTTTCTAAAGTCTTAATTAAGCATTTGTTAAATATGTCTTATGTGCACAGCCCTCACGAACCTTGATTAACATTCTAAACTTTTGATAAGTGATATTTAATGACTCTTGAATAATCATAAATGAAACTTCTAGCAGGGAGGGTGTCGTCATATTTTTTGCTGTTGAATTCTTTGGGGGACACTCCATGACTCTGGCTACTGCCAGAGTACTTTCAATGGACCGCTAGAAAGTAGATATTGTGGCAACCCTATGCTTATAATAACCACTAAATTTGAGTTTGTCTCATCTCTGAACAACAAATGCTCCAGATAGGAGGTAACACCTGCCTGACTTTGTTTTCCCTTTCTCAACAGGATCCCTGCCCACTATGTCTATCCGCAGGCTTTTGTGCAGCCCGGAGTGGTCATTCCCCATGTCCAGCCGACAGCAGCTGCGGCCTCCACCACACCTTACATAGATTACACTGGAGCTGCATATGCACAGTACTCAGCCGCAGCTGCCGCCGCTGCTGCCGCAGCCTATGACCAGTACCCCTACGCGGCCTCTCCAGCTGCTGCAGGGTACGTCACCGCTGGAGGCTACGGCTACGCGGTCCAGCAGCCAATCACCGCAGCGGCACCTGGGACAGCTGCCGCCGCCGCTGCCGCAGCTGCCGCCGCAGCCGCATTTGGCCAGTATCAGCCTCAGCAGCTGCAAACAGACCGGATGCAATAGACCAGCCATCTGATCAAAGTTGAATTGTTTTCTCTTTCCCTCCCCCATTTTCCAATTTTTAGTAGCTAGTAAGAGTTAACATTGACTTTAACAGCTTTAAAAAAAAAAAAAAAAAGCGATGCTATCGTGAAGCAGAATTATTATTTTTTTTAATACTCCGGGTAGTGTTCTAGATGAGAAAGCGGTGAGGACGAGGGGAATGGGCGTCGTCTTGGAAATCAATCCCAAAGAGCCTGAGTGAATGAAAGGCCGCTAGGAGATGACGGCAGGAGTAACCGTGGAACTTCGCTTTTGTAACGGGGATTTTTATTTTTGCTCTTTTTATAGTATCAGGGAAGCAAACTGCCTTTTACCAGTTAGAAAATGCTCTTTGAATCTAGTTGAACCAGGGAATACAGAGTGAGCAGTAGGTAGCTTGAATTACATTTAAAAGCAGATTTTTTTTTGTACAAACCAAACGGTGAAAGCACTGATTGTCATTTTTAGCAGTCACTATGGCCTATAGAACTTTTTTCGAGTAAGAAGGTAGTGTTCTCACTATCTCAAACATGGGCATCGAACAATCATTCTAGGAGCGTGGCAGTGGGTGAAATGGTGGACAGGCACCAAAGCTATCTTCTCATCTGTCCTGTGGACGAGTGGGACTGTGGAACAAGTGATGTGGAATGAGCGGGCGCAACAGCTGTACAGACAATCAATAACACACAGTTCTGGAAAGAACACATCACTTGTGCTTGTTTGATGAGCTTGTCACATTCTAATCCCTCTCCCCATCCTGTTTCAATTTTGGGAAACTTGTATCTGCTGGTGTCAGCAATTCTGATTCTGAAATAGGATCAGGCTTTTATTACAACAGCCTTCTCTTTCTATTTATTGTGTCGACTCGTGGCTTATGAAAAAGGCAGGCAAAGTTTGCAGACTAAACCCTTAAGAACTGTCTTAAGGACACATCTTTTTTTTCCCTTTTTAAATAATTTTACACTTTTTAGTATCTATTTCAGAGTCATATTTAAAACTATTTATTAGTGATTACATGAGACAACAAGGTTACTGAAATTACAATTCTTCAAAGGTTAATGATAATGTGGTTTATACTGTGCCTTAATAGTAATGCTATTTAAGATATTTATTTTTAAGTTTTACTATGCTGCACTCTAAAGAAAGGAACTTTAGATGTGACACTGTAAAATTATGTATTCATCTCATGGCATAAATTATTTAGTAGGTCTAGATGTAGCATATTAAATATTAACCTATTCAACTAAAGATGTTGACTTGGATTTATTTAAATTCATATGTGCACTGTATAAGAGAGTACTCTTACATTAACACATTTTAGTTTATTTTAGTTTTTAGATTTTTTTAAAGATATATTGCTAGTTTCATGCTTCCTTATTTATCGGTAATTCATTAGTTTAACACTATTCTTACGTAGTTTTTAAATGCTGCTTTACATTTTTCTTCTGAAACTGCAATACTTGCAATTTTTATTCTTAAACTAAATTGAATACTATTTTACACTGTATTGGATTTTTATACTTGAACAATTTCATACAAGGGAAGACAGGTTAGCATTTTTATGGACATTCTCCATTATCACTGGATTTACTTTAAGTATTCCCAAACTAGACAGTGTTATGTAATGTAGACATGACTCTCCTGTGCAAATTATTTATTCATTGTGTATATTGCTTTATAACATTTCAGATCTTCTAATCTATTCACTTGTATTAAATATAATTTTTAAAAACTTCTGTTGCATTGATTGTTTGTAATTCTGTGTTTAAGATGAATAAGCTTTCCTTTTAACTAGAATTAATAGCCATGATTCACATGTAATATTTTCAGTGAGCATAAAACTCTTCTGGATGTGCAGTTTTTGTGCCTTTTAAGTAAATTTTGTTAACTCAGTATCCACCTTACACTTAGTAAATAGTATAGGTCATCCCCCAACAGTGAACTCTAAATGACTATTTATATCACTGAAAATGGGTCATTGGGTTGTAGAGGGGACCAGTCAGTCAGAAGCTGGACCAGCACAATGGTGCTGGGGTCAGGTAAACTGAGGTTTGGAACTAGACTCTACCACTTTCTAGCAATGTGAGTGGAGCAAATTGCTTTTTGTAATTCACCTTATTGGTAAGGTTTTTATGGGTTTCTTACCTATCATATTGAGACAACAACATGTGTCTCATATGGTTATTCTGCCACAGAGCCAAATATATAGTAAGTGAGTATGTAGCAAATGTGTTGTAGCAGCTGTTGTGGTAATGCCCTATAGTGATAGCTAACCAAAGAGAAAGTCACCTAGCAGGGTGTTTTCATTTTTTAATTTCTGTCCACAATGACGTGGTAATATCTAATAAGGTGTGTGTCAGAACATCAAATGAGAAACAGTCATAGTGATAGTCTTAGTGTATATGTCATGTTAAATTTCGAATGGATTGTTTGTTTGATCACTTGGTCCTAACATTTCCCAAATCCACGATACGATATATTTTCTTTACTTCCCTTTAGTTTTCAATAATTATAAGCAACAGAAATCTGTGGTAACAGGTTCCATGTCACTTTCTCTACTTTGTAACTATCCTATTTAGAGCCATCACAATCTCAAACTTTAATTGCCTTTAATTTTCCAAGGAAAAATACATACCAGCTTATCTCCAGAGAGAGATATTATTGCACCCCAAGGTATTATCTAGGCTCAGTAAAATAATTTCTATGCTACTTAATTTAGTCAATGCATCAATGATTATTTTATTCCAGAAGACATGTTCTACTTTTAATTTTTCAGATTTATGAAAGGTCACTTTTGTCCTCAATAAGCCATCTATTGCTGAACTTTAAAATGAAGCAGTGTTTGATTTATTGATCAAAAATAGGTCAGACAGTTCTGGGAAAAGCTTTTCAAAAACAGCCAATTCAGAAAAGTCAAAATCCACCTACCTTTGGGTATCCCTTTCTTGGGGGTGTTTCCTGATCCATAGCAACAGCAACATTAGCAGTTATAGAGAGGGTATAATTTTTACCTTATAATCCTAAGGCATAAATTTCTAAAAAGAAAAATAAAAGTTTTCAATATCTGGTAAAGAGCAGAGAGTAGCCATGACAATGTCTACAGTGGTTGGGCAGGATACTTGTTTGTGTAGAGTAAGAGAAAGTAATGGGTCTGAGAACCAAAGTGCTGGGTCAATCCTGGTTTCATTATTTACCAGTGGGGTGATCTTAACCCCCTCTAAACTAGTAATATGTGAGTTGATAGTACCCAACTTAGTTGCTCTACCTCCAGATTTTATTAATTGATATGAGAGCATTTTAGAAATTCTAAAGCATTGGGCAAATGAAAATTATTAAGTAATTTCAATTGTCTCATTAAATGACCCTTCCAAAAAAAAAAAGACAACATTGTATCTCATGATGTTATCTTTATTCTCTCTCGACCAAGTAACAGCTAGACTTGCTGTAAGATAACAGCAGCACAAAAATAACACTGAAAGATGAGCGATTACCCAGCTAGGGAAAGGAGAGGTAAAAGAGAAGATTATGGAATACATTTCTCTCAGAAGGGAACTATATTTAGTTCTCTCTTCACTCCTGTCAAATATCATTCTTAATTCTCTCTGAAGCTTAAGAGCATTCATGAAGATGACAGCCCGAGGTTTGGAGAGGAAGAGGTGAAGGGAAACCAAAAAATAAATAAATAGATTCTCATGCTTGCTTTCGTTGTCTCTTCTCCTTCATGAGTTCCAGGCTGTTTCCATGGAAATTCTAACTTTGTTTTGCTTAAGCACTTCATACAGAAGAGATTTCATTATGGGTATTTGTTCTGAGTTGAATTTTTAAAGTTCAGTCATGATTTTAGCTCTATCGTTTAAATTTAAAGCTTTGAAGCCCCATTTGTAAATGAAAATAAGAAAGAAATGAGACCCTGCACACGAGCCCTTTAGAATTTTTAAGTGAGAAAAATAATACACTTTGTAGCTTTGACATTAATTAGTTCTTTTTGCACAGTATTTGGTCCTTGTTGGCCACCTTGTTCAGAGAGAAAGTCTATCAAAGTCCCCTTCTCTCAGTCACTTGTTTCCCAGAAGATGAGTGCCATTGCTATTTTATATCCAAGATGCTGCCACTAAACTATATTTTAAATGAGTTGGAGGGTGCACATTACTTTCCAATCTGCCACTGTTAGAGGTAATTCCAATTACATTATACATGGATTGAGTACAAACTGTTACTTCTTTTCATTTGATAGCTACATGATGTGTTCATAAAGGGGCAAGTATGTGAAACTGACTTCCAAAATGAGTTTTAAGTACAAAAACATAGTTTGCCAAGTAGAAAATTGTGTTCTAGCTCTATTTTTAAATGATGTTCATCTGACAGGCCCAACCAGGTATGAGCTTGTTTACTTTTTAAGTTGTCCTGGCTCTGCCACCTGCCCTGCAGCTGCCTCAGGTGAGACAAAAGAGATGCAGCAATGCTGTTTGGAGAGTCTTAGGGTATGCATTTGCCCTTCTGCATTTGCTTACGTACATTTTGAAACTTGAGGAAAAAGGAGTGTGAAAAGGATGTAGATGAAAATAATGAAGAAAGGTCAAAAACATCTAAAAATACACGAAAGAGGATGAGATGAAGGAGTGGGAGTCACTTGGATCATGTGTGTGTGTGTCGTGTAGATTATGTGGTGGTTCATGTGTGGATCATGTAGTTCATGTGTGATCATGTGGATCATGAATGCATCATATGTATGGATCATGTGGATCATGACTGGATCATGCACGTGAATCATGTGTGTGTGGATCATGTAGATCATGAATAGATCATGAATGGATCGTGTGTGTGGATAAAGTGGATCCTGCATGGATCATGTGTGGATCATGAATGGATCGTTGGGGGGGGTCATGTGTGGATCATGGGGGCCACTAAGGGATCCATGCAGGGAAGAGAGAGGTGGTCATTTACTGAGTGGCTGGAGACTTCGCTTAATGATGGAGAGTGGAGTATCATTTAAAGGACAGCAATTAGATACATGGTTTCCTTCTGTTTTCTAATTAAAAAAAAGAAATTTAGGATAACAGCTGAGTTCTTTAATTTTATTTTTCATTGACAAATAATAATTGTATATATTTATGGGGTACAATGTAATGCTTTGATACATGTATACATTGTGGAATAATAAAGTCAGGCTAATTAACATATCCATCACCTGACATACTTATTTTTTTGGTGGTGAGAACGTTCATAATACATTCTCTTAGCAATTTAGAAATATACAGTACATTATTATTAACTGTAGTCATCTTGCTGTGCAGTCCAACACCAGAACTTATTCCTCTTGTGTAACTGAAACTTGTTTCCTTTGACTAATATTTCCCTTTCCTCCCCTACCCCCCGCCTCCGTCACCCTTAATACCTGGTAACCAGCATTCTACTCTCTGCTTTTATGAGTTGGACTGTTTTAGATTCCACTTATGAGATAATGAAATATTTGTCTTTCTGTTCCTGGTGTATTTCACTTAGGTCCTGTAGATTCATCCATGTTGTTGCTAGTAACAGGATTTCATTCTTTTTTACAGCTGAATAGTATTTTGTTGTGTATATACCATATCATCTTTATCCATTCATGCACTGATGGGCACTTAGGTTGTTTCCATATCTTGGCTATGGTGAATAGCACTGCAGTGAACATGGGAGTACAGACATCTCTTCAATATACTAATTTCAACTCCTTTGGATATATACTTAGCAGTGGGATTGCTGGATCATATGGTAATTCTACATTTAGTTAATAGCTGAGTTGCGGTTTAGACATTTTTTTTTAAATGGAGCATATTCTTGGTAACTGAAATCTTTGAGAATTATGGCACCTCTTGTATGTTTAGATAGAGCTTGGTCATGGGCTTTCCAAAAACAGGGAATATTGGCATCCTTTTATTTTATCTATTGTCACTTCCCGTTTTAAGTAGACAAACAGGTCAAAAGAAGAGGGGGAAGGGCCGGCCCAGTGGTGCACTGGTACAGTGCGCCGCTTGGGAGTGCGGTGGCGCTCCCGCCGAGGGTTCGGATCCCACATACAGACCGGTTCCCGCTCACTGGCTGAGCGAGGTGTGGGAGCAACACTGAGGGTTGCGATCCGTTGCTGGACACGAAAAAAGAGACAAAAAGGAAAAAAAAAAAAAAAAGAAGAAGAGGGGGAAGATTAAAGACAATGTATGCACCCAGTATGCTTTGATTCAATGTTTTAAAAAGTCATTTGAGGCTGAGAAACTTGATCTGTTAACATGTGTATTTGCACATGCTTTGCTGCCTCTGTCTCCACACTGGCATGCTCCTGCTGATAGGCCTATGGAGAAATCATGGAAAGTTTGCAATGAGGGGGTGAAGGAAGAGGTGTGCACTGCTAACCACCTACCATGTACCCGATAATTATAATTAATTCTTCTGAAAACAAAAGGTAGGTATCCCCATTTTTCAGACAAAGAGAAGAGTGAGTAGCAGTGAGCACTCTGCTCAGAGTCATGGTGTCAGTTTGGTGCAGAACGGAGATTTCAAAACAGGGCAGCCTGAAACCAAACCCTGTATGCACACTACCTCGCCACACTGCTTTCTGCTGCTCCTTTTTCTAGTGAACCCTCTGACTTTCCCTTGCAGTTCCTTATACACGGCCACTGATTCCCTGTCCTCAGTCTCCTGTTACAAGTGAGCAAGCAACCACTGACTTGGAGGGAAAATTCCTGGATGTAGGTTTGAATTA